GGAAGACTTTTAAATCCCCTTTTAACAAACTCTAAATTACAGGTCATAAGTGGCAAAATATTTAATAGCCAGTGCAATAAGAAAAAGAAACAAAAGATTAGAAAGGAAGGAATAAAATTGTATTCACAGATGACACATCTTTATGTAGAAAATTCAGAGACATCTATAAAAGAGCTACTAGAATAAATGAGCATAGGTAGGTTGACAGAGAACTTCAATGCACAAAAATCAATCATTTCTATATACTAGCAACAAATAATCAAAAATATAAATTTAAAAAACATTTAAATAGCATCAAAAATTACAAAATTCGTAGGCATAACTGTGACAAAAATGTACAAGATTCACCCAGTGGAAACTACAAAATATTGCTAAGAGAAATTAAAGAAAACCTAAATAAATTGAGATAATAGCATGTTCATGGGTTGGAAGATTCAATATTGTGAAGATGACAATTCTCCCCAAATTGATCTATGCAGTCAATACAATCCTGATCAAACTCTCAAGCAGACTTTTTGGAAAAGCTAACAAGCTGATTCTAAAATTAATATAGAAATGAAAGGACCTCGAAGGGCCAAATCTGGAAAAAGAATAGCAAAGTTGAAGGACTTACACTATTTGACTTCAAGTCATCTTATAAAACTACAGTAACCAAGCCAGTATAGTATTGGCATCAAGATAGACAAATAGATCAATAATGAAACACAAAAGAGAGTCCAGAAATAAAACCACACATATATAAATGGATTTTCAACCTAGGCAATTTAGTGAAGGAATGGTCTTTTCAGCAAATGCTTCTACAACAATTGTATTTCAGCCCTGGCCCGTTTTCCTCAGCGGTTAGAGCATCGGCCCTCGGACTGAAGGGTCCCAGGTTCAATTCTGGCCAAGGGCAAGTACCTCAGCTGCAGGCTCGATCCCCAGCCCTGGTCAGGGAGCATGTAGGAGGCAACTGGTCGATGTGTCTCTCTCACATCGATGTTTCCCTCTCTCTCTTCCCCTCCCTTCCACTCTCTCTGAAAAGCAATGGAAAAAACATCCTCGGGTGAGGACAAGAAATAATTGTATTCCATATGCAAAGAAACAAAATTTGATCAATACTTTGCCCTATACATAAAAATTAACTCAAAGTAGATCATAGACCTAAATGTAAAACCTGAAACTAAAATTTCTAGAATATAGGAGAATATCTTTGTAATAGTCACCTAGCAAAGGTTTCTTAGAAAAAGCAACAAAAGCACAATCCATAAAAGAAAAAAATACAAATTGGACTTCATCAAAATTAAGAATGTCTCACTTCAAAAGACACCATTAAGAGAATATAAAAAGTAGAAAATATTTGCAAACCTTGTGCCTGAAAAATGACTTACATCCAGAATATATAAGGAACTTCTAAAACTCAGTAACATGAAAACCCAGAAGCCAATTGAAAGTGAACAAAAAATCTGAACAGACACTTCACCAAAGAAGCTATATAGATAGCAAATATGTTGATGAAAAGATGCTCAGCATCACTAATTGTTGGAGAAATGCAAATTAAAACCACAGTGAGATACCACTGCAAATTAGAATGTCTAAAATTTAAAAGACTGACCATGCCAAGGGTTGACAAGGATGTGGAGGAACTGAATCTCTTATACACTGCTGGTGGGAATACAAAATAGTAAAGCCGCTTTGAAAAATCTGAGTTTCTTTAAAAGTTAAACATATACCTACCATATGGTCTAGCCACTCTACTGCTAGGTATTTATATAGCCAAGAGAAATAAAAGTATATATCCACACAAAGACTTGTACACAAAGTTTCACAGCAGCCTTGTTCCCAAAACTGGAAACAATATGTCCATCAATAGATGAATGTATTAATAAACTGTGGTACATCCACACAAAGGAATATTACCCAGAATTCAAGGGGAATCAACTACTGATACACTAAAAACAGGAATGAATCTCAAAATAATAATACTGAATGAAATAAGCATAACTACATACTGTATGATTCCATTGATATAAAATTCTAGGAAATGAAAATTAATATATAATGAGAGAAAGGTCACTGGTTGTCTGGGATGGAGGTCAAGGTGTCAGGATATGACAAGCTTTGGGGGTGCTGGATATGTTCACCCTCTTGTTTGTGATGATGGTCTCATGAGTCTGTTCATATGTCAAAACTTAACCAATTGGCCTAGCTGGCGTGGCTCAGCAGTTGAGCAGCGATGTATGATCCCATAGATCAAGATTTGATTCCAGGTCAGGGGTAGAGGGCATGCAGGAGGCAGCCGATCAATGACCTTCTCACCATTGATGTTTCTATCTCTCTCTCTCCCTCTACCTTCCTCTCTGAAATCAAAAAAGACATTTAAAAAAAAAAAACTCTTTAAAAAAACACCAAAAAAAACTTAACCAATTGCATACCTTAAATACGTAGCTTATAATATGTCAACTATACCTCAATAAATCAGCTCTTAACAAATACGGTCTTAACCAATAAGTAATAATCTTTCATAATACAAATTGGGTCCTAATTCGTTCATTAAAAATCATTCCTTGTTAATAATGTGTATTTTGTCATAAAATTCATATGGCATCCTTACTTCCAAACTATTAAGAAAGACTGATTTGAACTAGCAAAATTCAGCAAGTCATAAAGAAAATAAATGTCTTACAGAAGCAAAAGATCTCTGAACAATACAAAATATTTTTCCATTAAAAAAAAAAAAACTTAGAATAACTAAATAGAATAACCAACCATGTAAACTGTTGATTTTAAGTAGGATTATACAAAAAGAACAATGTGCTATTACCTCCTTTCTAGTATAACTGTTATAGTTTTATAGTCAGTCCTCTATAACTCATTAAAGCTGACCATGGCAAAGAGAGAAAGAAGCAACCATTTCCCTTGATGAAATGCTCCTTAAATGAGGTGAAGTAAAACAGAAATGTCTGGGGCTTCTCTCTGAATCCCTCAGCACGTAGACAATCACCACAAACCTCTCCTCATCAAAGCCTAAAGGGAGAAACAATCCAATTTCATTAAAGGAAGCCTGCAGAGGAACCTAAAGAACAGAGTTCTTCAATTAGCATTATGGAACTTCCTGCCTCCTCCCCGCTTAGGTACCCAAGCTCTCCAGTCTACCAGATACTCCAACAACTACATTCCTTCATTTGAAGGATTTTTAAGCCACAGGGAACAGGTAACTTCCTACTGTATCAGCCTACTTCATCACTTACCCTTTTCTTTATCATTACCACAGTAGTTAGGTTGATGTTCTCATGACCAGTGTAACTGCAGAAATCAGACCTGATTTAGGGAAGTAGCATGATGCAGTGCGATGGAAGGAATATGGGCTTTCGCATAAGACAGACATGGGTCCATACTTTGGTTCTAGCACTTATTGCCTTATGACTCAAGTTTCTCAATAAAAGAGTCAAATCATCTTTCTCATTGGACAAATACTGGTATTAAATGACACAATGCATGTGAATTACTTGACACATAGGAGGGGATCATTCCATCAATTATAATCCCCACAATATACCATTATTTTAAATATTAGGACAAAAGGTAGGTTTTTTTTGGACTAAGAGATGAGTCAACTTGACCAATTCTAGCCTCAACACAAGAGTTATTCACATAATTGCAACTCTGGGGCACCAAGTTCTCGGGCATCAAGTTCTTGCTGTGGTTCCAAATAAAATGCCATCTGAAAAGTCTTCATTGTCAGATCTTTCTATCTCCTGTCACACAACACAAAGGAGCACTTTGTGCAGTTCTACTACCACCCTCAGTCTAATAGAGATAAGAATTCTGGCCAAGTCTCCCTGATATCAACAATAATGGCTTAAATAACTGGATTGCAGAGGGATCTATGGACCCATTCCAGGTCCACAGTTTGGTCTGTACATGTGCTCAGTAGTATTTGAGTGAAGATGAACTTTATTTCCCACAGCAATTCCCCATATAAAAGAAAAAAAATTTTTTTGTAGGTTAAAATAGGAGGACACTCTAAAAGGCTGGTCATACAACATTACGGGAAAGCAAAGTCTGGGATAAATGGGGAAACTACAAATAAAAGTTTACAAATTTTCCTCACACAAGAATATGCTTTGTTACACTTTTTTAGCCCTAAAAATACTGAGCCATCTCAAAATCACTTCCAATCCAATACCCAAAATCAACTGATCCATAGGCATTCCGCAATGAGCACTATAAAGTGTGGTACAAATATGATTCTTTCAGAAACATTTAACAGTAATAAAGCTCACAAAGAAACACTAAACCTTTGCCTCAAAATAAATCAGATAGCCTAAAAAGTTTAATGCATTAGGTTTTTCATTTCTAATTGTTTTTTTATTAGATTTTCATCAAAACTTACAGGGGAACCCAAGTGTGTGTGCCATGGACAAATGAATGCAATATAGAGAGTGTTAGGAAAAGGTGAGAAAGTCTTAACTCTGACTACAAAAGTGAAAGAATAATTCAACTGCAGAAGGACTAATGTAAATTTGATTACTATAATCAATGAAGTTCAAAATTTTATGTAGGGCCATCTTTTAGGCAATGAAAGTCCTGAAGACAATCAATTCATTAACAAATATTTCCTAGGCATCTAATATGCCTCAGCATAATGTTATGGAGATAGGAAAATGTGTCTGTGCCTCAGTGGTACTTCTGATCTAACTAAAGAAAAGAGCACTAAATCACAACATGTAAACAAGCTGAAGCAGAAAAGGCAACCACCCGAGTTGAAAGACTAGAGCTCCAGTCCCAATTCTGCCCCACTCACTAGATGTCTGTTCCTAAGCAAATCACTGGAACTTCTACAGCCTTTAATTTTCTCATCTAGAAAATCTCTAAGACTTTTTCCACTCTGGGTCTATTAATCCAAGCTGAAGGACAGGGGAGAGGAAAGAGCCTGAAGAGCTGGGAGGATTTGAATTGACTGATGAAAGAAGAAAGGAAATTCCAGGGAAGGAGCATGAAGGTAAAAATGAACATACCTTGTACGATTTCACTTTTATGAGATATTTAGAGTAGCCAAAATCATGGAAACGGAAGGTAAAAGACTGGGTGCCAGGAGCTGGAGGAAAGAGAAATAGGAAGTTGTGCAATAGATAGAGTTTTCATTTTGCAAGATGACAAAGTCCTAGAGATCCGTTATGCAACAATGTAAATAGAGTTAATACCACAAAACTGTACACTTCAAAGTGACTAAGAGGATAGATTTAATGTTTTTATTACCACAATTAAAAAGAGCCACAGAAATTAGTGTCCTAGAGGTCACACTAATGCAAAAATATTTCAAATCAACTTCTAGTATCTAATCCTAATCCCTAAAATTCCTTTTCTCCCATGTTAAAAAAAAAAAAAAAAAAAAAAGTGAACATGTCTTGCTAGTGGGACATAGAGACTTCCCCAATGACAATAAAACTGAGGGAGCATGTTGAAAAAATGAGGAAAGACAATTCAAATACTAAGCAACAGTAGAAATACAGAGTAGGCTATTCAACCATCTAATTGTGTCATCCCCGCCCACAATCCAGCCTAAGTCTGTTAAGTAAAACCGTGTAGAGGCTTCTCTCTACTCCAAGGATAAAGAAAAACTTTATCCAAGGCCCAGCAGCCTCTTGCCCACCTCTCGAGATCCCCCTCCCACCAGATTATTCTACACTCTTCCTGCTCCACACAAGGAGCTGTACTGTAGGTCCCCAGCCCTCTTCGTGGACCATGACATCACAGGGTCTTTGCCTTTGCTGTTTGCTCTGACTGAACACTCTTCCCTTCCTGTGCATCCTTCAGATTTCAGTCCGAATGTCACTTCTGTGTCCCTAACTCAAATACTCGTCACAGTTGCAGTTTTATATTCACGTGATTATGATATCATCTGCGGAGGACCTGGGCCATGGATGCACTCAGTCTCCCCCATTTCCAACACCAAGCACAGTGCCTAGTAGCAAGTAAGCACTCAACTTGTTGACTAAGTGCATCAATGGGCACTAAATCTATAAGGAATAAATAGGTGTCCTTAAGAGCATGCATCTTCACAAAATGAATCTTTGGAGAGTGCCCAAAGCAATTGAGCCTAAAATCCTATTCAACTCCTTAAAGTCAATTCAGGTGCACACCTCCGAGGTACTACGGTTTCAATTCCAAATGATAATAAAGTGAGTAACGCAATAAAGTGAGTCACAATCTTTCTGCTGGTGGAGGGTCTTGCCTACCATTTGTAAAAAACACAACACCTGTGAAGCATAATAAAACAAAGCAAAATAAAACGAGGTATAACTATAAATTTCTCTAACGCCTCTATGTCTCTAGGCAAATGCTGAGCATCCAAGGCAGATCATTTAAACACACACACACACCATAGGTAAAGCAGAGCACTAGCCGCTGAGAGTTGTATTTGGGATTTCCTGATACAGTGCCTGCTACATAGTAAGCATTCTGGAAATATCTGTCAAATGAAGAAAGCAACATTTCACAAGACTAGCAAGTATGTATGAAACAGTAAGTAACTCTATTAAACTGTGGTGCCTTATATAAAAGTAAGACCGACTGCAGAACCAGAGGAAAGAATCTCTAAGTGGCAAAGACTCCGCAATTAGCCTCATTATATTAGATCTCAAATGCAAAATATGCCAGAAAGATTTGTACTAAGAGTGAAAAAAATAGATACTGCAATCAAGTGGCCTTAAAAACTTAAATACTACAAAGCATCATATGAGACTATTCCCCAAGCCCTTAAGAAGAAACTACTTAGGATTCCCTGTCCCCTCCAATACGAACAGAAGTTGAATCTATACTTTAGAGAAGACAAGTAGTATCTATATGTCAGAGAAACAATCCATAAACATATTCCTGAAAACTCAGACCCATACTGATCTCTCCTCTGCTGATTTTGCATTTAAACAGATGTTACTTTATAGTTTTCCTGAAATTTAATGTGTGCAGCCTCATTTCTTATATGTATCCTTTCAGGTGCATATAACACTGCAGGTGTTTAATAAACAGTTACTGAACAGAAATGAAATTATACTGTTTTGAATAACTAACTTTGAGATTTTTAAACTCCTGTATTTTATTCCCAAATAATGTCATTCCCAAAAATTGCTCATATGCCTGTTAAAGTCGTTATCCAACAACGTTGCCACTCCTTCAAACTCAATTAAGGGAGGTGTTTCAAGTCCTTGTAGTTCCCACATAAATTTCAGTTTGTCGATTTCCGGAAGGGAAAAAAAACACAAACAAACAGCTGGGATTTTGACAGAGGCTGTGCTGAATCCATTTTCAAGTGTGAATCAGAGATGTTAACACCACCTGCCCCTACTTTCTTCAACGTGGCAAATTTCACTTGACATTTTTCCTAAACCTACTCAGTCCCAAGGAGAGTTCCTTCTGCAGGAAACGGGAAAATATAAAATCTTAACTACACAACACTAACCGCACGTCACTAAAGGCTGGAAAGCCAGTGCCCCGGGGGAAAGATCAGCACAAAACCGTCAATGAAATGAGTCTCCACGACCGACAGAACAGATTCAGTCTGTCTCGGGAAAGCTGCTGGCAAACGTCAAGTAACACACTTAGGTGGCTGCCGTTCACGGCTCCTGAGGCGCCGTCCCTGCCGGCCCCGGACGTCAGCGTCGGGACCCGGGCAACGCGCCCCGGTGACCCGGGACTCCCACGGCTGCCGCCTGTGGAACAGGTTTCCCTCCTCGCGCACCACGCGGGCTCCCGGGAGGGTCGCGGCGAGGACCGGGCTGCAGGCCGCGCTG